GAGAGAGAGAGAGAGAGAGAGAGAGAGAGAGAGAGAGAGAGAGAGAAAGAGAGAGAGAGAGAAGGCACCAAGGGGGAAAGAATGCTGAGCTTGGAGTTAGGAGACCAGAGTTCACAACCTGGCTCCAACACTTACTGTCTGTTGTTGTTATTTGTCCTTCATTCTCAGAGGACCATGACATCAGGAAGGTGATGCCATTACTTGCAAGTGAATTGGATTTAAGTGAGGGAGGGCTATGCAAAGTCACCAGCCTCATTTTCTCCTCCAGAGACATCTGGGTCCAATGACAAAATATAGATCAGGACAACTGGAGATGGCCCCCTTACTATCTGTATGACCCTAAGCAAGCCTCTTTACCCTTAGTTGTCTCATCTGTAAAATGAGTATTGGCTTACACTACCAAACGCACAAGGCTGCTATGAAGAAAGTATTTTATAAACTTTAACATGCTAGATAAATGTGTTTGGTTATTATTCAGGGGGCATACCGTATACAAGTAGACAGTTATAAGTATCCAAATAATTTTTTTAATTGGTTCTGGACCTGTGATGAGCTCCACCAATGCAGATCAGCATTTGTTCATCAACTGAGACTCTTAGCTTCTTGAGGCACGGAGAGGTTGTTCTTCCTGCCTCAGAGGCCAGCTCTTTAACTACTATGCCATGCTGCCTCTCAAGTAGAAGAAGAGCAAGAATTCAAGCATGTCTCGCTTGGAAGACGCCTTGCTCGTAGACCCCCGTAGAATGAGGGGGTTAGAGTTCCTGGGTGATGTCTACAATCTCCTCCTGACCTAATGCTCCATGTTATGAGGTCATTTCTAAGGTCTCATGGTAGGTCACCCTCTTCTTTGCCAGGGTTCTCACCTCAGTACAATTTGAAGAGTAGGTCAGAGGTTTGACGAACTTCAGCTGATACATCATTTTGCAGATGACCATTACACAAGCCCAAACCGTGCAGATGTGTGATGCATACAGGCGCAATGTGGAATACGGCAATGCAAACACCCAGACGATGTAGAATAGACAATTCATGAAGGAAACCTGGAATAAAGATTTTGGTGGGTGTTGATTGGATCCTGTTTTCTATTTTCCTGCACGTGTGAGTCTGGCTGACTTTATAGGTCCAGAGTCAAGTGGTGATGTGTTAGGAAGGACAGAAATATGCATTTAGATATGCTCAACTGGTTTTCATCTTGAGGTCCACCTGACTTTCAAAGTTCTAAAAATCTGAATTTAAACTTCCACACGTTAGAGGAAAAAAATGCCCCTCTCCAATTCCCCTGAAAGGCAGTTTCCTCTGGATCACTAACCTCCTGAAGAGTAACCCAGATGATCACAGTGGAAACAACCTTGATGATGTGTATTTCCAGTAGTCTCCATAGTAACACTTGAGTTCCATTAACTATTTCTAGAAGTTTCAGAAAACCAGTAGTTAGCTTGTCAATCATCCAGTCGCAATCTCTTGTTTCTTTCTCTGAGAAGGGAGAAAAAAAGCCACGGTTTAGAAGTGCTATACTAAAACCTTATTAAAACTAATTGAAGACTGTTGGTGAAAAGTCTGAATTGTGGATTGTTTTTAAAGACATATCACTGAATACTTTGAAGTGCATTTATAATAACCAGAATGAGGCTCATTCAACATTGCCAAAATAGAAATCTTTTTGGACCTGCTTTAATGAATAGATCAGATGGTTGTAATTAGCACATTGTTTGTACATAAGTACGTTTGAAGTGCTTAAAACACTTTTTTCTCTCTAATAGATTAAGCATTTTACTCAAATCTTGATGAAACCTAATTTTTCCTATTTGGTAAGCTCTTTACAGAAGTTGATAACAAGGAGCTACCTTATTTATATTTATATTCTTCTTCCCCCAGCCTCATACTATTCTATTCAAAGTAGCATTCATTTGCTGAATGAATGAATTTGCAAGCCCTTTCTCTACACATAGTACAAAAATAGGCTTCAGCCTTTTCCCTGTCAGAATTAGCATACATTCCTAATTAGCAGAGTCTGATCTAATGAGGTTTGCCTACATATGTGACCAAAATGACTTAATAGTTAGCATTAGAGGGGAAAAAAGAGTACAGGAGGTGCTAGGGGAATGTGACATTAAATTTATTCAGTTTCTGAGGCAGTGTAGGAAAGAGTTTTAATTTTCTCCTAATTAGCTTTCTAAATTAAATCTGGCCTCAATTTCCTCATCTGTAAAATAAGGAAATTGGACTGGGTGAACTCTGAAGTCTCTCCTAACTCTGAAATTGTATTAATACCCTTCAACCCCACCCATCCTTGCCTGTCAAAATATTACCCATTCATAGGACTACAGATCTATAGCTGGAAGCAACCTCAAAGATCATCTAATCCAATTCCCTTATTTTACAGATGTGGAAACTGAGGCCCAGAGAGGGTAAGTGATTTGCCCAAGGTTCCACAACTAATAAGTATTAAAGGGTAGGATATGAAACCAGGTCTTTCTGACTCCAACTCACAGCCTTATCCTCTACACCATTTTTTCAGGTCCAGCTCAAATGACACCTCCTCCATGAAGCTTTCCTATCTCTCTGCCATGAGTCATCTCATTCTTCTCTGAATCACAGCATTTTGTATTTTTTGACAACAATTTACCAAAAGCTATTATATGTTGCAGTTATTTTTATATGGGTCTATCCGGATGGCTAGGTGACCCAGTGGACAGAGCTCGGACTGTGTAACCTTGGGCAAGTCATTTAATCTCTTTCTGCCTCTGTTTTCTCATTTTTAAAATGGGTAAAATTGCAGCATCTACCTCCCAGGGTTGTTGTAAAGATCAAATTAGTTAATATTGGAAAGGCACTTTGCACACCTTAATAAATGTTATACTATTATTTGGCTAGCTATTACTTGATTGTAAATTCCTTAAGAGCAGGCATTACGCTATGTCTTACCTGTCTTTATATTCCCCATGCCTCCTCTCCTCTCTGGGACTTGCACAAAAGGAGCACCCAATAATTATTTGTTGAATTAAATTGAATTGATTGGAAGAAAGAAAAGATGATGTGTTGAATTGGCCTAACAACTTTGAATTTGTCAGATCTGTTTGAGGACTTGGCAGGGGTGGGGTGGGGGAGGGAATAGGGTTCGGAGGTTGCTTTTTTTTTATACAAAATCAGTTACTTAACACTGCATCCTATCTAGGGGTCAACGTGGCACAAAGGAAAGGGCACTGAATTTGGGGTTGGAAAACTTGAGTGCAAATCCCATCTCTGCCAATTATTGTGTGACCGCAGACAAACCTCTATGGACCTCAGTTTCCACATTTGTAAAAAAGAAAAGGTTTGACTTTATGACATCTAAGGTCACCATCAGCTCTAAATCTATGATCCAAATATACAGCCCAAAGGCCTACAGACAGAAAATCAACTTCCTGGTATGCCAGAGTGTTCATTTGGCACAGCTGAGAACTGGGATTCTTGGAAGATGTCATATATGACCTATTGCTGATCAGCTCTCTAACCTGCTGGTCCTTTCTGTTCTGGCTGCTCATTTTCCTCCTGCTTCTGTTTTTCATCCACTGTGACAGTGTCTAGATCATTTGTGGAGTTCTGAGTTTCGTCAATTTTCTTTCCAGGCGTCAGACTGCAGAATACAGAAAGGGTGGGCTTAGACCATCTTAAAAAACATTGATTCATTTGCCAACTTCCTCATTTGCTGGGTTGGGTTTTTAAAGGTCACAAGTGAAATGGGTCCTCATCACTGGTAATGGAAAGAATGAGCTGATTTATTTAATCTAAAGAATTTTAAACCACTATGACCTGCTTCCATTAGCATTATTTTGAATTACATCAACATTTTTCTCATGCATGCAGGAAAAAAAAAACTGACTCCAAATCAAGAAAGTGACCTAGCAGGGTAGAAGAACTAAACTCCAAGTCAGGATACTCAATTCTGAAATAAAAATCATTAAATTTTTAGCCTTAGACAAACCACTCAACCTTTTGGAGTCTCAATTTCTGCATCTGTACAGTAGGGAGAACAATATTTGTACCAGAGGTTTTTAATCTTTTTTGGATATGCCATGGACCCCTTTGACAATCTGTCAAAACCTACTGACTCTTCAGAATAATGTTTTTAAATGCATAAAATAAAATACCTAGGATTATAAAGTAAACCAGTTATATTGACACATACTTATCAAAATATTGACAAGAGAAATTCACAGAGTTCAGGTTAAGAACCCCTGCATACTAGCTTCCGCATGAGGTTGGTGTGGGAACCAAATAATATATATGAGAACTTTTGCAAACTAACGTAACTGGGGCTGTATGTAGCATGCAATGCATCAAAGTGAGCACAAGCCTATTTAATTCTCACCTATTCCGACGTTTCCAAATCGTTGCTTTGAGGCTAAAAAGAAAGAAAAGGAATGGTTTATCAAATACGTATGATTTATTGGCTAATGCCCTTGTTTCTCCCTCTTAACCAACTCTGAGTCCTGCTTCCGAATATTGCAAATTCCCCACCCACCCCAATTTCCCAATCTCACTCCACATAAGAAAAGACAATAGAAAGGAAATTATATTTGTTATGTGCACCTATGGCATTGTCTGCCTGCGTGGATCATAGAAGGATGTGACGTCTGATTGTGTGATTTAAGCCAGAACTTTTTGGTGGTCATTGTCAGGGTTCCCTCCCCTGATTTTGCTCTTGGTAAAGGAGTGTGGAAACGTGATATGCAGCTAAGAGCTGAATGAGAATCCCTAAGAAATTGGCTAGTTATATCAGCATTTCCTTCTCCCCTTTGACCATTTGTTTATTAGGGGTTGGAATTTATTCTTGTAAATTTGTATCAATACTTTCTTTTCCCTTTCACTCCCACTTTCAGCTTTTTAAAGTGTTCTCTTCCCGAATTAGAACTTAAGCTCCTTAAGCGCAGGGATTGTCTTTCTTTTTGCTTATCTTTGTATTCCAGGCAGTGCTTAATAAATGCTTGTTCACTGATTGACTGAGATAGCTGGTTAGAAAGTTTCTGCAAAAAGTTAAAAGAAAATAAGAGACTCACACATCTGCCAGAAGATGTACATCATTTTCAATCATCTTATTTCTAGAAAGTACAAAACAGTTATGTTGGAAACTTATTCCATAAAAAGTGATACTATAATACGATGACAACCTATTTCAGAAACATGTCCCCCCCCCTTCTATGGAAGAAAATGCAAGAATCAGACTGAGAAAATATTAACTTTTTCAGACCAGGCAGACGTGGGAACCACATGATCTAAAAGTGAGTTGCACCTCCAGGTGATTGTCTGTATTCATGAGTAGGCTCTGAATGGATTCTCCATGAAGATGGAGTCACAGCCTACCATATTCACTCAAAGTGAGCTCTGGCCTTCTTATGTAATGAGCTTTCTTTACTCTGTAGAGGAGGATAGCTTCTGGGGATCTCCCCTCCTGGCCTCCCCAGGATTACTTTCTGAATAAAAGGATGAACTCAGGTTGGGAAAATCATGTGTAATGAAGAGCACTGGGGTTTAGTTTGGAGGAGGAAACCAATGTTCTCTTACGTTGTCTGTGCAATTAGGCATCTGGGCAGGGCAGTGAATAGAGTACTGGACCTGGAATCAGGAAGAATTGAGTTCAAATCCTGACCCAAACACTTACTAGCTGTGTGACCCTGGGCAAGTCTCTCTCTGCCTAAAGAGGAGATCATAATAGCAATTACTTCCAAAAATTGTTGTGAGGACAAAATGAGGTAACAGTCATAAAGCACTTTGACAATTTTAAAGAGTTGTATAAATGCTAGTTATTATTATCTATAACTTATATTGTCTTTCTTTTCCATCAAGCTAGTTATGTCTTTAATAAAGTCAACTAATCAGGTCAAAAATGAAAAAAAAAATAGGGGCATAGAAAAGATAATGTATAATTCCACAAAGACAGAGAAGTCATAATTTCTACAACAAATTTTTAAAAATTAAAAAACCCATCTCCCAAGCCCCAAGATAAATAGCAATTCTTTTTTTACTGAGTTCTCCCTCCTTAAGTTTTCTCCTGTTTGTTTATCTGTGTATTTGTTGTATTCTCTCCCTTCTTTTAGTAGAATTAAGAACCCCTTAATGAGCCATTTCATTTTTCTCTTTGGATTCCCAACACCTGGCTTAGTGCCAGGTACAGAGCAGGTACTTCATTATTGTCAAAATGAATGGAATGGAATATATATGAGGGGAGGGGGGTTCTTAATTGAATTTCTTGAGTGTAGACTCTTCGCATATATGGTGGGCTGTCCAGTGTTGCCGTGGTGATGAGAGTACCTATCAGGTGTGCCTTCCAAACTGATTGGAGTATTATTCAGGCTGGTGATCTTGAGAAAGTCTTCATTAAAGTAGTGCAGCTGAAGGATGCATGCCAGGAGGAAAGCCGCAGGAAGCATAATCTTTGCAAACAGCTCCACCGTGTCAAACTGTTCCAGCCCTATGTCTCTTAACCTGGCAAGGCAAGGGAAAGAAGGAGGAGGAATCATTTGGGCAGACCTAGAGGCTCACGCTTGTTTTTCACCCCATAAAATAAGGACATCTGACCTGTGCATCTATTGTTAGCACTTCTCATTGATGACTCCTTTCCTCTTACGAATGGTGAATAAATTCAGCTTTGCTGCTAACATACTCCCACTCACACTCTAATATCTTCATATAAAATGACTTCATACTACAAACCTGAGTTTACTTAGCTGTCAGCTAAGGGGGAAAATGGAGCTCTAATGACTTAAAGGCTTTTCAAAAAAAGGTTAATGCATGCTGCCCATGTGAAGATTCAGTTATGTTTTATGTTTGCTCACATATTCACATATATAGATCTAAGGGCAGGATTAGAGCAAAGAATTATAATGGCGCCATGTCAGAGGTGCTACAGAAATGGAAGTGATTAGAAACTTAATCTTTATAAGGCAACCCTGACCAACATAACTTCAAGGTAATGTAATTAATCCATTGTAGTCAATACTCTGCCCCCTCCCAAGTCTCAAAACCACACTGTAATGTCATTTGGAGCATATAACATTGTTCTTTTTTTCCTTTTAATATATATTTTCCTTTAAAATAGATATTACATTACATCATATTATATTTTCTTCCATTCAGATAATAATCCTTGTAACAAATAAGTATAAAAAGAAAGAGAAAAAGTTCAGGTAAATTAATCAATATCTCAACTTAATCTGACAGTATATATAATGTTCTATCCCATAGACCCTCCACCTCTGCAAAAACATAAAGAGGGAAGGAAGATGAATTTTCTGTTCTCTTCTCTCTTGAAATTAATTGTTTAGGGGTGAGAATGAGCAGAGGGCTAATCTTGATCATTAAAATTACATAATGTATAACATTATTCTTATAAAACCCCAAGGCGTCTTGTAATGTTTCACCCAACACTGTGTTTTTTCAGGACAAATTAGTGACATGATACGTGGTTTGTCTGTACTCCAGAATCTATGGCTAAGCCAAGGAAAAGCAATGACTTTTTTTCTTCTTTGTCTCTCACTGCCTTCAGTGAGAACAGAGAAGCATGGCATTGTCACATCCCAACCTCCTGTCAGAATAGAGCAGTCACATTCAGGAAAAAAAGGAAAGGATGGAGTCCAAGCTGTGATCCCAAATGATAAAAAGCCATGGCTGGGTCAGATAAAACAGTTCACCAGAGTAAACCAATCCAAAGACTAGGAATGGGAAACTGAGGCCAGGGCAAATAATCTAAAGCTGGAGGGGTGGGGAAAATAAGTATGGGGCAAGGTAAGGAAACACTGAGAGAGCAGTATACCAAGGAATTAGTAAATGACAATTTGTCTTATGCAAAGTCTCAGCTTCTGTTGTTTCACTTTATGACGGCAGCGTGAGAGCCCCAGCTGCTCCTTGCTTAGCTGCATCAGGAATGCTGGAGACCTAAACAAGAATGGGTAGAAAAGGAAGAGTGTGTAGGGGGGAGAGAATGGGCACTCTCTGCTCTGACAGGTGGCTGCTGTAGAAGGGCTCCCCTGTGCCTGAGCTACCATGAGCAGCTGGCACAAGCTCAGCTGCGGCTTGGATACTTCCACTCTGAGCAGCTGTAGCCAGGACATTTAAGGGAAGCAAATTGTGGTATATGATTGTGATGGAATACTACTGTGCTAAAAGAAATGATGAGCTCAGTGATTTTAGAAAAGCATGGGGGCAGTTGGTGGCACAGTGGATAGAGCACTGGCCCTGAAGTCAGAAGGACCTGAGTTCAAATCCGGCCTCTAGACCAAACACTTGACACTTGCTAGCTGTGTGACCCTGGGCAAGTCACTTAACCCCAATTGCCTAAAAATAAAAGAAAAAAAAAGAAAAGCATGAAAAGACTTGCATGAAATAATGAAGAGTGAAATGAGCAGAACCAAGAGAACATTGTATACAGTTAACAACAGTATTGTTTTAAGAAGACCTTGAATGAATAAGTTATTTTGACTGTCATAAATACCAAAATTGCAAAATAGATAATTTTGGTTACATTAAATTGAAAAGTTTTTGCACAAAGCCAATGCAACCAAGATTAGGAGGGAAGCAGAAAACTGGGAAAGAATTTTTACAAGTGTCTGATAAGGGCCTCATTTCTAAAATATATAGAGGACTAAGTCAAAGTTATAAGAATACAAGTCATTCCCCAATTGATAAGTGGTCAAAGGATATGGCAGTTCTCAGATAAAGAAATTAAAGCTATCTATAGTCATAAGAAAAAATGCTCTAAATCACTATTGATTAGAGAAATGCAAATCAAAACAACTCTGAGGTACCACATCACACCCATCAGATTGGCTAACATGACAAAAGAGGAAAATAATAAATGTTGGAGAAGATGTGGGGAAATTGGAACACTAATGCATTGTTGGTGGAGTTGTGAAATGATTCAACCATTTTGGAGAGCAACTTGGAACTATGCCCAAAGGGTTATAAAAATGTGCATACCCTTCGACCCAGCAATAGCACTTCTAGGGCTGTATCCTAAAAAGATCATAAAAATGGGGAAAGGACCCACATGCACAAAAATATTTATAGCAGTTCTTTCTGTGGTGGCCAAGAATTGGAAATTGAGGGGATGCCTATCAATTGGGGAATGGCTGAACAAGTTGTGGTATATGAATGTAATGGAATACTATTGTGCTATAAGAAATGATGAGCAAGCAGACTTCAGAAAAACCTGGAAAGACTTTTATGGACTGACACTGAGTGAAGTGAGCAGAACCAGGAGAACATTGTACACAATAATAGCCATGCTATGCGATGACTAACTTTGATAGACTTAGTTCTTCTCAGCAATGCAAGGATCTAAGACAACTCCAAAGCTTCATGATGGAAAATGCTATCCACAACCAGAAAAAGAACTATGGAGCTTGAATGCAGATCAAAACATACTATTTGATCTTTTTTTTCCTTCTGTTTTGTTTTGTTTCTTCTTTCTTGTGGTTCCTCCTATTGGTTCTAATTATTCCTTACCACATGACTAATGTGAAAATATGTTTAATAGGAATGTATATGTAGAGCCTATATCAGATTACACATTGTCTTGGGGAGGGAGGTGGGGAGGGAAGGGGAGAAAAATTTAAAACTCAAAAGCTTATGGAAGTGATTGTTAAAAACTAAAAATAAATTAATTAATTAAAAAAGAAAAAAAATAAATAAAAGCCAAAATTAACAATAAAAGACATATGAAGAAAAACACTATCTGCATCCAGAGAAAGAACTGATAAATGGAATTGTGTAATGAACAATTTTACATATATGTGTGTACATATGGGTATACATATATATGTATGTGTGTATGTATGTATATATGTATATGTGTGTGTATATTTATATATTTGTATCTATACCTATTTGTGTCTAATGGTAGCCATCACTAGGGTGGGGAGGGGGAACGGAAGAAAAAAAAGAAATTTACATGATAATTTTGTTGTATATTTGAAAGGAATAGCAAGTTGTGCATAGCAGATTCACAGGTTCATATGTAATCATCTTTTTTTATTGTACTATGTTACTCAAATGCTTGTTTTATTCCATAAATTTAAAATGAAATAAAATATTTTTTTAAAAAAAAAGGGAAGCAGAGCTAGCTTACTGTGCGGAGGCCCTTACCTTTGGGAATGGTATCAGTGAGTAACAATGCCTGTGCCTCTGAAGTTTTGGGTGGGTGTCTGTGTACCTAATGTTAATATCCTGGAGGCTTTGTGTTACTATTTTGGGGGAGGACTGTGACGCACAATTAGTCACTTCTCCCTCTAAGGTGGAATTATGCTTGTATGAGGGATAATTGGAGGCTGGCAGGCAAGGGCTGTCAGTGTGGCCAAAGTGGGCTTCTTGAGGTACCCTCTCACACATATATTTCATAACATTTCATCTCTGGGCCTCTGCTTAGCCTGTCTCTTGTGTTTGGGGTGAATGCCTTTTTTACCTCTGCATCTTAGAATCCTAGGTTTCCTTAAAGCTCTCTGGGCTGTTTCTGATCTTCCAGATGCTAGTTTCTCCTCCCCCAAATTACCTCGTGCTTATGTTTGTATATATCATATATATATATGTGTGTGTGTGTATGTGTGTATCATATATATACACACACTCAATATGTATATACATATATATCTTATATATATGTATATACATGTATATATCTTATATATAATATATATGTGTATATTTGTAAATAAATACATATATTTATATAGCATATTTTATTAGTTATAAATATATTTATGAATTTATATAATATATTCTATGTATTTATATATGTGTATATATGTGTATATATATGTATATATATATTTAAATGTACTTAGGTTGTTTCCCCCTAAAGAATGGAAGTTCTTTGAGGGTAGATCCTGTTTTGTCTTTGTCTTTGTATCTCTCGCACCTAACACAATACCTAGGCCATAGAAGAAGCTTAATAAGTGCTTATTGATTGACTGATTGATTGACCCTGATGCTGGGGCAAAGGACTTTTGTCTGCAGATAAACAGAGGCAAAATGAACCGTTTTCCTGGATGGAAGCTAAGTAGAATTTATGTGTGCTTTGCTGCTGAGTCCTTAAGGAAGAAGCCTGGCAACACAGGGCAGAGTGGAGGTAACTGGAAAAGTTACTCTCCAGGCCAAGGCCAATAGCCTGCAGAGCTTGCCAAAGGACTGAGTAGTTCTCAGAACTGCAGTCGCATGGACCTGGCATGCATAATCCTTTCTGTATCAATGAAAATCATTGGGTTCCAGTAAACAACTGCCTTGTTATCCTTTTAGGTTAATATTTCAAAATAGGGAGATTAGGGAGGATGTTAGCTTAATTCTGACATAACTTCAACTACCATCTGTCTCCCAATCCCTCACAGTTCGTTGAGGGTATGTATTCTGGGATTCTTAGTCTGACAGGGTAGACTAACTACAAATACAGCTGGGACTAGGAATGAGTAAGATTGTCCCCAAGAGGCAGCATTGTTGCGGTGGTGGAGGACCTCACAAATGGGATGATTTTTAATTTTTTGTGGGGGACTAGGCAATGGGTTTAAGTGACTTGCCCAGGGTCACACAGCTAATAAGTGTCAAGGGTCTGAGGCCGGATTTGAACTCAGGTCCTCCTGACTCCAGAGGCAGTGCTCTAACCACTGCGCCACCTAGCTGCCCCCTTAATTTTTTTTTTATTACTGAACATATTTTAATGCCACAAATGTCCATTGTCACATGATGAGCCAAGTCACACGTGTTCCAGGGATGACTCACAAATCTCAGACATGGTTGGGAATATGGAGTGGAGGGCGGGAGGACAGGCACAATTCTCAAACCTTGCCTAGGGAACACAAATGCCTTGTCCCAGATCTGCCAACAAGCCGCAAAGAGAAAAGCTCTTACCCCTCTTCTGACAGCCCCAGTGTGTGGATTAAGAAGCCAGAAATGGTTTTAAACTGGTAGCCGTAGACAGTGATAAGAACCACCATGGAGTAAAAGACCACAGCCATCCAGAAATACTTCAGGTTTTGCCTCCAGCAGCCATAGTGAATCTGCAATTAGACACATTGCATGAGTTAGTGGGGACTGTAGTATATTAGAGACACTGAGGAAAGCCAGAGGCAGCTCTCACAGGAGATGCCAACAAGCACTGGGCAGCCTACAGACAGCTGCGGCAGAGCTAAGCAGCTTTCTCCTCAAGAGCCCATTTTCCAAGTTGGCAGTAGAATCCTGGGCTGTCAAAGGATGACAAGCTGTCACATGGGATAGAGAGGAATCTTGGTGTTTCTTTGAGCTCAGAGACTAAAAAAGCAAAATATTCAATGCTCAGCAAATAATAAAGCATCTTTTAAACCTAATGACCATGGGTTATTGCTTCCTCACATTTTTAATGGAAGTGGGAAAGTTGGAAGTTTAATAGAAATCCTTGTCCCTCTCTTTTTCTTCTGTCTCTGATGTTCTCCACCTCTGTCTCTGTCCCTCTCTGTCTATCTCTTTGTCTCTCTGTGTGTCTCTGTCTGCCTGTCTGTCTCTCTCTCTCTGTCTCTCTCTCCCTCCCTCCTGATTGTACACATTTTATTTCCAATCCTCGTGCTGGTGATCCTGGGTGACTTGAAGGGATTAATGACCTGCCTGTTTTTTTCTTATGGATATCTTGACAAACTAAGTATGTTCCTTAATGGATTTGCTCTGTACTTCATACTTTTAACTCATTGAGATCATTCTTTTGCCTCATTTCTCTGCCCCCTCTTCCTGTTTACTTATAGATCTTGCACCCCACAGGCATATTACAAATAATAACAGCTGACATTTACATAGGACTTTAAGTTTGCAAAGTGCTTTGTAGTATATTATCACATTTGAACTTCACATTAGCTTTGTGAGGCAGGTACTGCAGACATTGTTATCCTTATTTTCTATTTTAGCAAACTGAGGCTCAAAGAGTTTAAGTTACTTGCCCAGGGTCCCACAGTCGCTATTTATCATAAGAGGGATTTGAGAAGAGGGATTTCTGAGTCAAATTCCAGCTCTCAGTCTACTATGCCAGGAGTAGGTAAACTATAGTCTGTGGCTTGATGTTTTTTTATGGCCCATTGCCTAAAAATGGTTTTTACATTTTAAAATAAATTTTGATTGTATTTTAAAATGTAGAAACTATTTTAAATTCCCTGGCTATAAAAAAAAAACAGACAAAGGGACAGATTGGCCCTCAGGTCATAATGCTGAGCCCTGAACTATACATTGAAGTGAACAGGTGACCAACTGAGAAACATTGCTTCCCCCTGTCTTCTTGAATGTTAGCTTTGCAGCCTATGTCTTAGGATCTCTAGTCCTGCTTTGGATTGGACACTGGTTATCCACCAATCCCAAGTTTAGGTAATGCGGTATTAAGTTAAGACAAAATGATCTGGAGCCCACTGGCTTGTGCTATAGTAAATCTACTCACTCTTACCTTTGAATAGTTAATTTCTGCTCCCTTCCCAACCAACTGGCACATTTCACATCCCCTATGTCTGTTTTCTCCTACCTTGTTTCAGTTATCTGATAGCCACAGTAAGTGTGAAACATGGTCAGTAGCCTGAACTTTTGGCCTGCTAAGGATAGAGAGGTAGTTTAGAATGACTGCATTTTCAACAGTGCCAAAAACTTATTTCTTCAACAAATATTCATTAAGCACCTACTGTGAAAAGCACTGTGCTAGGGAAGGTAGAAAGTTTAATTACGAAGTAGCCCTTGCGTGGTCCAGACCTACTATAAGGATCAGATAAACAGGGAAAACTATGCAATGACACATAGCAAATGCTTGTAGAGAGGTGTAAACAAAGTCCTATGTGAGGTATAAGGGGCAAAGATCATAACTAATCAGGGCCATCAAAGAAGACTCCAAGAATGGAAAAGAATTCAACAGCTGAAGAGGAGAAGGCATGAGGAACAGTGTGAGATTAATAGTTAAGAAGAGTTTTTGCTTGGTTTCCTTAACTTTTGAGAACCCTGGGCCATCTTCACATTACCATGAGGCAAAAGAAGAACCTACAGCTATCGATTCTTAAGAGTCAGCATGTGAAGGAAGCAGAGAGGGGCATCTCAGTTTCCCATGGCAATGAAATTTACCTGATACAGGGCCACACAGGCAAGAAAAAGCATGATGTAGAGGATTTTGTAGACAACCACCTTGCCATCAAAGCTGACAATGAAGAACATGCTACCACAAAGGAAGATCCAGTATTTAACCAGGATTCCAGTAATGAAAGAGCCCAAGAGATCCATCAGAGTATTTGTTGGTTTCTCTCGGCCTATAAAGACAGTAAGAGAAGCCAAATACAGGGTTATGAATTCAAAGCTAGAAGGGATCTTAGGGGCCATCCAGTCCAACCCTCTCATTTTACCGATGAAGAAACTGAGATCCAGAAAGGTTAAAATAACTTGCCCAGGGTCATAGAACTAATAAGCGTCTGAGGCAGAATTAACAACCAATCTTTCCTGATTCCTAAGTCCCCATTCCTAAGCTACTATACCAAATACAACAGCCATCCATCTTACAGTTACCAAAACACCAACTGTGCCTTCCAAATTCCTGACCTCCATGTTACTAAGTTTCTGAGAGAATAAGAAGTTCCATCAAAATTGTCATGAATGCAAGCAAGGCCTGATTTGTTTCCCCCTCTTCTGCCCTCACCTCCTTATGAGCATATTAAACTAACAAACTGGGCCACATAGCAATGGTTCAGACCTTAATTCATTTAGGATTTTTATCCTACTCACTTTAAAAAAAAATTGTATTTTAAATTTAGGAAATAACACAAGCATTTCCATAACATATTAGAATAAAAAAGATGATTACATGCAAAACTGAAAATCTATTATATACAACTTACTATTCCTTTTAAATATATAGTAAAGTTATCATGTAACTTTCTTTTTTTTCTTTTTTTCTTCCCTACCTGCCCACCTTGGCTACCATTAGACACAAATGTGTGTCTGTGTGTCTGTATGTGTATAATCATTTTATACATGCTTCTAACAGATATTTCTCTAGATGCAGATAGTGTCTTTCTTCATAGGTGCTTTGTAGTTGATTTGGGTATTTATAATAGTCAAGATGACTTAGTCATTCGAAGTTGTTTTAAAAACAATATTGCTGTTATTTTTATCCACTTACTTTAATGAAAGGATTTTGTGTCCAGAATATTATTTTTAAATGCCATATTGTCTGGAAAGAATTTCCAGATTCCCCTAACCAGTAATTGTTTCTCCATCCTCTGGATTACTATAACTCTTTTTATCCTTTCTATACATTAAATTCTATTTTGTGTTGGAGCTATTTGCACACAGAACTTTAGACCCAGAATGGACCTTAGAGTTTATCTAATAGAACCATTACATTTTATAGAAGAAACAGAACCTGAACACAGGTGAAATGACATACTGACATTCACAGACATAAGTTTTAGAGCCAAGATTAAAACCCAGGTCCTCATATTCCAAATCTATTGTTAATATTCATGATAATGATTAATAATAATAACTAACATTTATATAGTTCTTTAAGATTTGTAGAGTGCTTTACATATGTTATCTCATTTAATATTTTGCTCTTTCAAGTAGAATGTAAACTTCTTGAGCACAGAGGCTCACTTTTGCATCTTAATCTGTATCCTAAGTGCTTAATACAGTGCCTGGTATAAATCTATTTACCTACTAATCTATCGTTCTATCTATCTATTGATCTATGTATCTATCATCTATGTATCTATGTATGCATCTTTCTATGTAGATGTCTATGTATCTATCATTGATCTATATATATGTATGTATATAAAATCTATGTATGTATGTGTCTATGTATCTATCATCTATGTATCTATGTATTGATCTATGTATATATTTATCTATGTAGGTATCTATGTATCTATCATCAATAAATGTATATATCAATCATCTATGTATGTATCTATGTTTCTATGTATCTATCATCTATGTATCAATCTATGTATGTAGGTATGTGTCTATCTATCTATCCATCTATCTATCTGATACTTAGTAAGTGCTGGTTGGTTGATTTCTACTCTACCACAATGCCTCTTATTTCATAATAGACTATGAGGTTCTTGAAGAAAGGGTCAATGTCTTATTCATCTTTGTATTCCCAAAGATCACCAAATTTGAGAGCAAGAAGGGTCCTTGGAGATCATTTAATCCAAACCATCCCAAAAAGGGATCCCCACCACAATATACCTGACAAGTCTTACCTAGTCTTTGCCTGATGACCTCCAAAGAAGGGGGAACCTCCCACCTCTTGAAATGGCCAATTTCACTTTGGGACAGCTCTAATTGTTAGAAAGACTTCCTGGCATCAAGCCACAATGTCCTTCTCTGTAACTTCCACTCATTGTTCCTGATGTTTCCCATCCACCCCCATCACCACCCCTGGCCCAAGAGAATCAGTCTAATCCCTTTTCCACATGACAATCCCTCAAATACTTGAATGAAGCCATCATATCTCCTGAATCTTCTCTCCAGACGAATCATCCCCATTTCTTTCAGCAAAGCTTCCTGTGATCTAGAGTAACCTAACATGGAACCATACTTTAAGCAGGCACAAAGCCGAAGGTGACCCCGAGTTCCTTTCCTAACCACCTCAGCTACTTTATTAAGTCATACATCAGTGGCTTCTATTGAGATCCTGTGCCCACACATAAAAAAACCCTAGAAATGGCTCCCTTGCCCTTTGTTAATTAAAAAAAAAAATCACTCCAAGGAAGAAGGGAGTGCTTTCTTACAAAGATTATCCCAAATGCAGGTACTGCTTGAGTAGTATTTGCATTTGTCATACTATGTCCTCACCATGTTCATCACCAGTCACTTCCTGTAGAGTCTCCTCCTTTGCCTTTGCCAGTGACTGTCTCTCTGTCATATACTGCCTCAGGAGAAGCCAGAATGAAAATGCATAGAAAGTCTGCAATTGAAAACAAATGAAAACCTTTCTTTGCTTATTCAAGGACCTCCTGGGATTAGAGGTTGTTCATTTCTACCATGGCAGTGACTTTCAGAAATATATCTTTGAAAGGACCACTTAGTCTCTTGTGTATATCTAGAACCCACTGGAAACCAGTGGGAAACCAGGAGGAAATCAGGCAGGTTCATGTCAAGGATGGGTCAAATGATATTCTTAGCTCATATCTGTCCATACTACTCATCTCCTTGCTTCCAAAGAATCTACAAACACATAAAACTGGAAGGAAACTTAGGGATCATTTACTCCCTCTCATTAACAGATGATGAAATTGGGGTCCCAAAAGGGAAAGTAACTTATCCATAACATCAAGTTGGTGCCAGAGCCATGGCTAAAACCTGGGTCTCTGAAATCCCAATCTAGGATCCATTCCACTGCATGCGTCCTTAGGAATAGTGAGCTATTCATAGCCTATTGAGTCCTTTTGTAATCACTGCTATAATAATTTATTTCCTGTTTCCCTTCTGTCTTCACTGGCCCCATACTGCATTCCAGTCTTTCCTTCCCACCATGGCTATCAAAAGGCACCATGCTATTTAATGCCAAATTTAGAATTACTGAAGAAACTGGTTCTTACCTTGACACCAATATGAAAGCAGGGCTGGGGGTAAGGTTTTAGATCAAAGTCAATGAGGACTGAAGTGGAAACTCCTGGAAATAATTCTTCCTGGGAAACTTTGAGAGCCACAAAAAAGTTAAGAAGAATGAGGATATTTGCATAGATGACAAGGAAGGGTGAGCTGAGTAGGGCCAAGCGTCGCCTGTTACGAGCCATCCAAATGATACACGACCAGATCAACAGGACAAAAGTCAGCCAGCTGTTGTGAGTGATGCTCCAGACCTGCAGCAAAATGGCAGCACATGAGTCCAATTGGCCAGAAGCTAAACAAATGTGTCTTGGGAAGAGTAGACCCATTTTGTAGTATCTGGATCATAATCCTCTTGATGCATCTCTATGATCATGTCACTCTTCTACTCCTAAGCCTTTCAGTGACTCCTTTTTGCCTACCAAATAGAGGATATAAGCCTCTACAAAATAGTTCCCACACTATCTCATAATATTCCTTTTCCTGTACTCTACATTCTAACCCAACTGGACTACTCTTCACGCTACCTTCTCATGTCACTCCTGTCTCCATGCCTAATCTCACACCATCTCCCATCCTTGGGATAGACTCACACCCCCATCACCATTTCTTAAAGTCCATCCTTCCTTCAAGGCCCAATTCAGATACCACATCCTCCATTAGGAATTGTCAGATCACTACTACCCTCATTCCTCAAATAAAAATCACCTTTCTCTCCTCAAATTTCTGATAGTAATTTGCTTTCATCTCTCCATCTGAAGTGTCTCACTCCCTTGTATTACAATTATTTTTGTACCTGTCCTTTTCTTCACTGGGCTCTAAGCTCCTAAAAAGAAGACCTTGTGTAGCATCCATTTTTGTAACTCCAGAACAAGGCCTTGAACACAGACAGTAGAGGTGCTTAATGACATCTTAATGGAATTAAATTGAACTGCTGAATAAATATATTTTGAATTTGTTGAAGTAGGAAAGATTTCATGGAACTGCGATAGATTCTAGGCAAAACTGAGAGCCTTTCAATGCTCTTAGCAACTTTCTGAGACTATCAGTTGCAGAGAAGGTTATGATCTGAGTTAACAGAAGTTTCCTCACCTTGGAATTCCTTATACTAATGAAATGACAGGTGAAGTCTCTATCCCTATTCCAAACAAGATTTTCTTTTATTTGTCCTAAAGAATAGAAGAATAGTAAATATAACAAAAATAAACCCAAATAAATAAATAAATAACCGGAAGTTTCATCAGTCTTGGATCTTACCATCATAATGATCAGTGCTGTGACATAACTTTGACTCATAATGAGATGGCCAAGGACAGAAAAACTGCTGGGCTCTTTGTCCTTAGGTTCTGTCTCTTTGGGGAAAGTGCTGCTTCCTGCAAGTAGTATAAACAGATTTACAAATACCAGGGAAGAAGACTGAAGGGTCAAAACGGAACCTAGCAATCCCAATTGTTACAGAAAACATTTGGTTGTCTCTTCTAGGCATGTCTTATTATTGTATAAAGACCTCCATTTCCATCTTCTGAAGGATTCCACCTCCCAAGCAATCTTCACAAATTCCTTCCTACCTAACCTACCTCAACAGCATCTTGCCTTTTGTCTTGCCACTGGACTTCAATGATTCTAAATGAAAGAGTGAGGTTGATGACTTTGCACATCTCTGCTTTACTTAAATCCAATTCATGCATAAGTCAAGACATCACCCCAATGTCATTAATCCTCTTAGAGAACAAAGGACAAACATCAACATATCAACAGCTTCAAAGGAAATACCATGTCTTGGTCAACGTGTTGGTTTATTTTTCTTTGCTATACTTCTTTGTGGCAAGGGAGGTCTCTGCTGGGGGAGAGGGATGATCCACTGGGAAATGACAGTGATGTACAAAAGAAGCAGGGAACATCAGTGGTATTTACGAAAAAAAAAAACAATCAATGAAGCAGTTAAGGCAACTAACACAGGTATTGCTATCTCTATTTTACAGATGATAAAACTGAAAAGAGGGGCACAGAGAAATTAAAGAACTTCCCAAAAGTCAAGGCAGTGTGCTGTAGTGAATAGAGCTCTGGACTTAGAATAAAAAAAAATCTGGGTTTAATATGATTTATTTAGTCACTTAAAATCTGTACAACTAAGTTTCCTCAGCTATAAAAAGAGAGGGTTGAATAAATGTCTTCTGCAGTCATTCCCAGCACTCAACCTATGATCTGTGATCCACGTTCTAGGACACACAGGTCTTTCTGACTCTAAATCCCTTGCTCTGTCCACTAATACACAGCTGCCTGTTGAGTCCAGGTAGGAGCTCAACACTGCTTCCCTAGACCCACCACTGAATTCCACTTTCACAAGAAGAGAGAGTCTTACCATGTTCTGAATCACAAAAGGCAGGCGAATCCACACCACAGCTTGGGAGCTTATATTCTTCACACTTCAAAAGTGGCACAACCTGCCAGCTCCCACTTGGGAGAACAGTCAACTGGTAGAAGAAAAATAGAAGTCAAATGAGGCTATTGGGTCGACAATTGTCAAAGATAAATTTTAAATACTCTGCAATGCCTAGCCACCCCATGGATTTAGGTCATCTATATCCTTGATGATATCCTAATAGATTACAACCTGATTGCACTCACCCATACCTCTTTCCATTTTCTTTAGGGTCATTTGCAGTTGTCATTCTGCATATGCCCAATCCTTCCAACCCTGATATTTCATTGTGCTGTAGATGTGACCCTGGGTTCTTGCAAACCATGTCAATGGACTTCAGTTCTGAAAAATCCTGGCAAGCTGGGAAGATGAGTATGGGCATGATGAAGTATTGTATATTTGACATGGGAGGACCAGTCTAGCTGATTTCAGGGAAGCTGATCACCAGGATGGCTGCTGGGAGATGAATTTTTCAACTTCTTTCAAAGATTGTCAGCTAAGACATAGAACATTTGTAATCTATGCAGACAAAGGAAGTACGAATATTGGCAACACCACAGATTTCTGACTTATTGAGCAATATTAAATTGTTCCGAGTTGGTTGGAACAAGACTAGAACTGAACCGCCCTGGCACCCAGGCTCTATCCATTTTGTTTAAGTCCAAAAACTAACACAATAGCTAGTTCATTACAGGTGCTTAGCAACTATATGCTGATGGTAATGATGTTAAATTTGAGGAAGAGAAAAAAAAACTTTAGTCAGCTAGGAAACTCTCTTTACAATTTAGCTGGAACACAAAGGGTGTGAGGGGGAGTAATTTGCAATAGACCTAGAAAGGGAAAGTGGAATTGAGTTGTTAAAGACTTTAAAAGCTATGAGGGATTTGCATTTTATTCTAAAGTTAATAGAAAGTCATTGAAGGTTCTTGTTGTTGTTCATCCTTTGTTTTGGAAAAGGACCAATGACATCATGGGGTGATGTCTTGACTTGAGCATGAATTGGATTTAAGTGAGGCAGAGCTGTGCAAAGTTGTCAGCCTCACTCTCTCTTCCAGAGTCAGTGAAGTCCAGTGGCAAAACTAAAGTTAAGACAACTAGTTATGGCCCAGGGTTGCAGTATTTTTTGTCTTGTTTTGTTTTGTTTTTTTGTTAAGTACTTTACAAACGCTAACATTTAAAGTTACAAAGTGGAAACCATAAATTTATGTAATTTGTTCCAAAAAATATTAAATTTAACCCATCACAAAACTGCCCCTGAATCTCCCTCTGAACTCCCCCCCCTCCGCTTTTTAGTGTATTTACTATCTATGCTCTTCCCTCTTTTTATTTTTTCCATCTCTATCACTAGGCACCAACTCAACACCTAGCCCCCACTGCCACAGGATAAATGGGAGCTCTATCCTTTAACATAGAAATATAATTGCGCAAAACAATTCAGCACATTGGCCAGGTCTGAGATGTTGGGTACTTCTGGGGAAAAACGATATAACAAAACAATTTTCTGGCCAAAGAACTTGCAACTCCATAAAAAGGAGTGGTCATTTCAGTGCCCACAGACACTCTAGTTTTATGTGAATTTTGCACCCAACCAGGATCTAACACTTCATTCTGCTAAATACTCTGACTGGTCAGCCTATTTGCATGGCAAGATCTTTTCTAGTCTCACTTACTACTGTAGGTCAGTAGTGGTTTTCCTTCCATTACAAGCCAATGGTTAATTCTACCTACAGAATAAAAATGTTTTGTAGAAACTCAGTGTGTTGGTCAATCATCTCATTAGTTTCTTTACCCTTCACTGATAGGAAAGGTTGTAATTTAAAAAAAAAAAATAGGGAGATTCAGATAAGAATTCAAAGATCTGGACACAGAAGCACATCTTCCTCTTCCTTCTTATTCTATTTCTCCTCCTCCTCTACTCCCTCCGCATACTCTTAAGCAACACTATCCTCTCAGTGCTTTTTCCACTACATAGCATAGAGGTCTCCCCTCTTCTAACTGAGAATGGGGATTTGTTGATGAGCTTCAACCAACTTCTTGGTGGGTGATATGATCAGGCTTGTGTTTTAGGAAAATTATTTTTGGCAGATGAGTGGAGGATGGATTGGAAAGAGGTGAGATGTGAAACACAGAAACCAATTAAGAGACTATTACAAAAGGTGAGAGGTGTTGAGGGTGTGAGCTGGGGAGGGACAGCAATGGTGATGAGTGGAGAGACTAGGATGAATACAAGAGGTGTTGAGAAAGCAGAATCATCAGGACTTAGCAGCTGATTGGCTAGAGAGGATGAGCTTGAGAAAAAAGAGTACAGGTTGACTCTAAGGTTGCCAATCTGGATGACTGGAATGATGGTGGTGGATTTAACAGAAATTGAGAAATTTGGAGGATAAGTGGGCTTAGTAGGAAAGATAATGAGCTCTAGTTTGACCTATTGAGTTTGAGATACCTATGGGACACAAAATTAGAGATGTTTATTTGGGGTTGAAGTATAGGAGCTCAGGAGGGAGTCATCAGGTGAGAATTCATTCAGTAATAGGCAGAGGAAGAAGAAAGGAGTAGTAGAAACTGTACATTCCCTATACAGGGGTACTAAGACAGCTATTTGTTAACCTGACAACAATAGAGAGTTTTGCTATCTTGCTGGGGCATTTTTCCAAGACACAACAGAGACTCTCCCAAGACAAATCAAAACAGATGACAACTACCCACTCTGGTGATTTACTTGGGCACAAATAAAACTTCCAGAAAGAACCTAAAAAGTATTACTAATGATTATGAAGTCTTAGCCAAGAAACTAAAGACCATAAGGGCAAAGATTATTTTGCCCATTGAAAACAACGAATGCAAAATAGAAAATTAATGTGGGAAGTAAATATCTGGCTAAGAAGATAGTACCTGATAATATATTTGGGATTTCTGGACTAGAACTTACAATGTAGGGATGACAGATCCCTGGCTAGAGATAGAGTATACCTAATACAGCCAGTAAGACTGCATTTGTCCAGTGTCTTGCAAATGTAATTTTAAAAACTTGAAACAAAAAAAGATGGGAGACAAGATCAAAGAAAGAGGAGAAGGACCCATATATAAAAAAGTTTTTATAGCAGCAATTTTTTTTAGTAGCAAAGATCTAGAAACTAAAGGGAGACCCATAAACTGGGTACCACATTTAGTACAATGCCTGGCACATAGTAGATGCTCGATAAATGTTTATTAATGGGCTGACTGAACGAATTATGGTATATGAGTGTAATGAAATACTATTATATACATAAGAATTGGAGAAAGAAACAAATGCGGTTGCATAAGGAACTCATCAACTAACTTGAATTTAAGAGAGAAATGTACAGAAAATGGAAGCAAGGCCAAGTAACAATAAGATAAATATTAAAATATTTATTAAGCACCTATTACATGTAAGGCACTGTAGATACAAATACCTAAAGGTGAAACAGTCCCTGCCCTCAAAGAGCATAACATGTATAGGGGAGTGGAGGCCAGGGAAGGGAGTTTTTGTCTGGAATTCACAGGATTTGTGAATGGAGTCATAGGTAATTTGGTTATCGTGCCCTTTACATTAGCAGCTGTAGTATTGATTGGGTTACTGTTCACAGAGCAAGAGAAAAAAATGAAAGGACAGAGGGACAGGGTGTTAGTAAGGCAGAAAGGGCAGATAGCAAATCATATGTGTGTATGTTAGGCACATAGAAAGTGCTAGGGAAATATTTATTACACAAAGTGCCTGGCACATTGTAGGTATTTACTAAATTCTTGTTAATTGAGTGAATGAATTATGCGTCACCTTTCTAAAGCATAGGTCTGACCATGTCATCTCTTCTGTCCCCAGACCTTCAATGTCTTCCTATTGCTTATAGGATAAAATGCAAAGGACTCAGCCTTGCATTTAAGGCCCTCCATACTTTTTGTTCTACTTACCTTTTCAGACATTTTACATTATGCTTTTGCATTCATTCTATGCTGCAGCCATATTAGACTACTGCCACTCTACCTCTTAACTCTATGCATCCACACAGCTCATCTCCTATGGCAGTAATGTATTCCTTCCTTACCTCCAGCTTTCAGAATCCTTCTCTCCCTTCAAAACTAAGTTCACTTGCCACCTTACCTATGAAGCCAGCTTTCCCTGATCCTCCTAAATGAAATAGCTCTTCAGATATTTCTAGAGGATTTTAGGATTTTTCCTTTCTCCCCTTCATATTCCACTTTGTATTATTCTCCTTAGGTATATAAGATCCTCCCCTAATAGACTGTGAGTTCATTGAGGTCAAGGACTGGACCTCTTTTATTTTTGTATACCTTACTCCTACTCCAATAAAGTGTCTTGAACTAAGTAGGCAATTAATAAATGTTTGCTGTTGTTTAATTAATGCCATACTTAGAACCTTTCATCAGCAGTGGAGAATTTCCTCATCCATTTTTACGAGGCTCCATCTGATTTCCAAATCTCCTCTTTTTTGTTAAGTCAAGATGGTGGAATAGGAGTAATGATATACATTTAAAATTCAGGGCTCCCAATGCAAAATTTTGCAAAAATACCCTGCCATACAGGCACCGCTGTCTTCAGAAATGTCCTTATGTTGCACCCTGGTGGAGCCCCCAAGGTCTGCAAGAGGAGTTGTTACACATAGGCGTAGATGTGAATACCCTCACCCTGTCCTCACTGGCAATGGGCTGCACGATACAGTTCAGCTCCACTTCATTGTAGTCTGTTGAAGAGTCTAGAGTAAAGTCTTCTATCCATTCTTGTTTCTGTGAAAAACAAAATTTTAAAACAATAACTCCAATGAGGCCAGTAATATGGAGACTATGACTGAACTTCCATTTTGCATTCATTAGATTGTGAACTCCTTGAGGGCAGGGACTGTCTTTTACCTTTCTTTATATCCTCACTGCTTAATGAAGTGCCTGGCACATAGTAGGCACTTAATAAATGTTTATTGATTGACTCGCTATGTGACTTTGGGGAAAATCTTTTAACCTCTCTGATTCTCAATCTGTAATGTAGAGAATTTTTATGGAGCAATAGAATTACAAAGTTTTAACCTTGCCAGTTTGGGGACTTTGCCATCATCAAGTCCAGGGGTAAAGAGTCTTGGTTCTATTATTCTCCCATGGCCAGAGAACCAGAATGGGGGCTCTGAGGAGCTTAGAAGCCCTGCATTGGTATAATGAACCTAGGAGATTAGTCAATTGTCACCTTGGTAGACAGGGAAAACCTAGCCCTATGGAGATGTTGAGGATACTGGAATGAAGCAACTGGAGTAGAGGCATGGCCAAATAAGAGGTTATGATTATGGAGTCTATTTATTGTGTATATTTATCAAACAGCTATGTATGCTGGGAGGCAGTGTAGTAATATAAAAAGAGTGTTGGTTTTGGAGTCAGAAGACTGGCGTTGGAACCCCGGCACCGCCTGTACAATATTAAACAAGTCACATTTGCCCTTTGGGCCTTAATTTCTCCATCTGTAAAGAGAGGGGGTTAGATTAGGTGATTTCTAAGGTTCCTTCTAGGTCTAAGTTCTACAACCTTTGTTTTTGCCTATGCTTGTGTCTCAATGCTTCCAGGGGCTCCCGCTGGTACCCTGGGCACCCCTTCTCCCTGGCAGCACTCAAGGCCACATAGGTTTCTGATTCTTTTCCTGGGCAGCTTTAGAAATAGGACAGATAACCACCTGAAAGGGTGGGTGTGGGAAATTCAGTCAAAGAATCAGAAATTCACAGAATCTCATAACTGTAGGAAACATTAGAGATCACTAGTTCAGCTCACCCCACCCCACCCCAAGACATGTAGAAATCTCTTCTCTAGCTAGTCACCCAACCTCTGTTTGAGCATATCCAATGATAGGAACCTCACTACAGGAAAACTCTTCTTTAAAATGCAATGAAATTTACTTACCTGTAACTTCCACCTATTAATTGTGATTCTGTCTTCTGGAGCTAACACAAAATAAGCCTAATCTTGGGAATATTGAAGATAGGGTTTATGTTGGCCTGTATTCTTCCATTCTTCAATCTAAGCACACTCACCTCTTTCAGCTCCAAATGTTCTTTTCTTTTCTTTCTTTCTTTTTTTTTGCGAGGCAATGGGGTGAAGTGACTTGCCCAGGGTCACACAGCTAGTAAGTGTCAAGTGTTGAGGCCAAATTTGAACTCAGGTCTTCCTGAGTCCAGGGCCAGTGCTCTATCTACTGCTCCATCTAGCTGTCCCCACAAATGTCATTTTCGATGAAAATAATACTTCTGTTTTTGAGATCTGTCCATAGCCGTGGGATCATAGATCTAGAATTGGAGGTGATCATCTAATCCAAACCCTTCTTTTTATGAGTGAGGAAACAGATGCCCAATGAGTTTAAGGAATTTGCTTGAAGCTGTGTAAGCAGGAAGCATAAGAGGCAGTATTTGAACACAGATCCTCTGATGCGAAGTGCCTACTACAGGCCAGGCACTATACTAGGTACTGAGGATATAGAGACCAAAATGAAATGATCTTTGCCCTCAAGTAGGTTCTATGCTGCATTCCAGTCTCAAACAATGCTTTGCACATAGCAAATGATGACTGTTTTCGTCCACTCATTCATAACCTTGAAGGGAGTGAGCCATGATGGTATACGCAGCCATTTACCTGTTAGGATAAATTAATCAAATTGTTTTCCTCTATCAAAGCTGGCCAGGGATTGAGAAGGTGGTGTCCGGGAGTATCTATCCCCTACTCTGAACATATAGACCAAACCATTCACTTACACATTCACTTATCTTTGGATTTGGATTCCATTGATGTAATAGCATGATTAGCACATAATAGGATAGAAGCAGAATGAGAGGATTTGCAAACTCAGGCCAGCTGAGCCCTGGGTGGCTATGGAGTTTCCAGGATTCTGTCCTATTGGTCTTAATGACAGCAGTCATGCCCAGTAGCCTAAAGAGAGTAGAGACAAAACATAGCGAAAGGGTTTTAAGCAACACCGTTTCCTGTCAGTCAGTGGCTTTATTTTATTATCATTGCTTCCTGTGTGGCTATGTCTACCCTGTGCAAGTTTTCTCTGTGAAACAGATTTTGTCAGATTTTTAAACATATTTTTCAAAGGATGGGGAGATTAAACTGGTAGCCCAGCAAAATTCCCATCTCTGTTTCAGACTGGAACATAGACTGTCACTTGAGGAAAGAGAATCTTTTCTTTTTATCTTTGTAGCCCTAGTATTTAGCACTTAGCATAGGCTCTAAAGTCAGAGGACCTGGGTTCAGATTCAACTTCTATTTGTCTTACCAGTATGATCTTGAGCAAATCCTTCAAACTCCCTGGGCCTTAGTTTCCTCATCTGCAAAATGCAGGGTTTGAACTAGAGGATCTTTGATGTGCTTTCTAACTCTAGTTCTAGCCCATGGACAGATCTCAGAGCCAGAAGGGTTATCTTCCACATAGCAAGGTAGTAATACCATTGGTGCACCACCTGGTGCTTCTCTAATGGTTCTCCAGTTATGGAGAGAGTCTTGTACTGAATCATCAGCACCTCCTCCCCCGGTTCTCACCATGATTGTCAGAACCAGCTTCAATGTGACGATCGTGGACAAAGTCAGCTCACATGGAGAATTAACTCTAGACTTTGGCCTCATTACACCAGGTTCCAAACAACAAAAATTTCCAATACACACCCTGAAATCTTCCCTGCCCTTCTCATTAGAATTTAAGCTTCCTGAAGGTAGGGTCAGTTTTGTTTTTTAATTTTGTTTCCCCAGCACTAATCATAGGGCCTTGAATATAATGGATTTTTCATAAATACATTTGTTGAATTGGATTATAATTTTGACTGGGCTCAAAGACAGAAAACCTTTGCTTTGAACCCTTCCCCTTAATTGAGAGAGACAATTTGAAGCCCAGGCTGTAGCCTTGGTTTCTACCTGGCATAAATGTCTTCAGGTGGAACTAAGTCTTGGAAGTAAGGCAGCTGATAGAGATAGAGGCTCCCAATGTGGCCTGCAGTAAAGATGGCCAGGGAGACACACACGGTGCTGAAGGCCAGGGTGCCCACTTCTTGATGACAGGACCACCAGGAACATATGACCAGGAAGGTGACAAAGTACACAGCAGACGTCAGTGAAGGATAGATGATTCCTGGGGAGAGAAACAGATTGGGCTTGGAGTGAAGAGCTTAAGCCCTAAACCTATTCATGCTCTCATCAACAAAACAGCCAACAACAATGTGTCAGGGTGGTCACTAGTACGGTCAGCAGAAGCTGGGTGGCTCAATATAGGACTTTTGTAGGAGTGACATTATCTAAAATATTTAAAAGAGACTGTAAGATATAACAGAAAGAACATCAGATTTGGAGTCAGAGGACCTGGGTTTGAATCTCAGTTCTGACAGTTACTAACACTGAACCTGAAGTCAGGAAGACCTAAGTTCAAATCCAACCTCGGATACTTCTTAAATGTGTAACCCTGGGCAAGTCATGTAACCTCTGTCTGCCTCTGTTTCAACTATAAAATAGGGATAATAATAGTACCTACTTCACAGGGTTGTGGTGAGGATAAAATGATATATTTGTAAAGTGCTTAGAACAGTGCCTGGCACACAGTAGGTGGCTAATAAATGCCTATTCTCTTCCCTTACCTCTGTTTCAGGGCCAGAGAGGTAGAATTTGAATTCAGTTTCTCTGATTTTCAGTTCAGGGCTCTTTCCACTGTACCATACTACCTCATTTCCTCACCTGTAGTAGGAGCTAGTTTGACTATATGATCCCTAAATTCACTTTAAGCACTGACAGTCAATGATTTTGTGAGGAGAAAGGATCGTAGAATGATAGATTTAGAACTAGAAGGTACTTTACAGGCCATCAAGTCCAACTTTCTCATTTTACAGATAAGGAAACTGTGACCTAGAGACATGAAGTGACTTGCCCAGGGTCACACAGCTACTAAATGGCTGATGAAGGCTTTCAACTCAGCCCTTCTTGATTCTAAGCCGTGTCACTTAACTGCCTCAGAAAGTCTGCTAGTTGTAGGTAAACTGATCAGGGTGTCCAGCCTTAGTAGCTTTAGGAAGTTTGGATTGTTCTCAGAGTAAGAGTCAGACCCAAGAGAACCTCTGGAGTTTCCATAGGGCATCGCTTCACCAAGCAGGCTTCCCGAGAAGGCCCTAAATTGGATTTTATGGATCATAGTCTGAGCAACCCAAGTCCTTCCTCTTCCATGTAGACCCCAACATTACCTGACAAGCCCAGGAGTAGGGTCACCAGGACCTTCCCAGTTATTGTTACAAGGGTGTCCAGTATTGTTTTCAAGTGGGTGGTGATGGTAGTGATTTTGCCCAAGAATTCTGTCATCTTCCCCTTGCTCTTTGCTTCAGAAACACTTTCCTCGGAGTATGTGCTACTGTCGGAATTACTGTCATCAATATCCAGATTGATTTCATCTCCCTGTGAAAAGAGTTGAAGCTACTTTCCAGTCTCATTACACATTACTACCCTTCCCCATACTCTACAGTCCAGTCAAACCGACCTGTTTGACCTTCCTTATATAGGATACTCCCTTGCCTTTTTTTGAACCTTGGTACTGGCAGTCCCCCATGCTTAGAAGGCATTCTTTCCTTCTCTCTGTTTTGTAGAATCCCTTAGCTCCTTCAAGACTCAGCCCAAAATTCAAGCCATCAATAACCATATGAAAGAAATGCTCTAAATCATTAATAATTAGAGAAATATAAATTAAAACCGCTTCCATCTCATACCTATTAGATTGGCAAAGGTAACAAAAAGGAAAAAAGATAAATGCTGGAGGAGCTGAAGGAAAAGAGGTAATTTAATGTACCGTTGGGGGAGCCTTTCTGGAAAGCAATTTGGAAGTATCTCCCCCAAATTATTAAACTGTGTATACCCATGGATACCACTACTAAGTCTATTTCCCAAAGAGATCAGATAAAGAGGAAAAGGACCCATATGTACAAAAATATTTATAATAGCCTTTTTTTTTGGTGGCAAAGAATTGGAAATTGAGTGAGTGTTTATCAATTGGGAGATGTCTGAGTGATTTATGATATATGTATGTGATGGAATACTAAGAAATGATAAAGGGGATGGTTTCAGAGAAACATGAGAAGACTTGTATGAACTGATGCAGAGTGAAGTGAGAAGAACCAGGAGAACAATTTATACAATAATAACAATACTGTAAAGACAAACAATTATGAAAGACTAAGGAATTTTGATCAACACAATGACCAGTCACAACTCCAAAGGACTCTTGATGGAATGTACTATCCATTTCCAGATAAAGAGATGATGGACTCAGAGTGCAGATAGAGGCATATTTGGGGGGGGAGAGAGCAGTTATGGCTAAAGTGGGAATTGGTTTTTCAGCCTATAGATGTTTGTTACAGGGGGGGAAAGATTCAGCTCAAGTACCATTTTCTACACAAAACTTTTCCAGATCTACCTGTTAGTGCCCTCTCACCATGTACTTGTCTCCTACAATAAAATATAAAGTCTGGGAGCAAGGACCTCAGGAGTTTTATTTTTGTATTCCCAGCACCTAGCATGGTGCCTGGCACAGAGTAGGCAATTCATAAATCAATCAGTCAATAAATATTTATTAAGCACCTACTATGTACCAGGCACTGTGCCAAGTGCTTACCTTTTACAAAGGTAAAAGATAGTCCCTGCCCTCAAGTAGCTCACATTCTAATGAGTTAGACAACATGCAAATTACTACATGTGAACAAGCTATATACAGGATAAATGGGAAATAATCAAGGGAGAGAAGGCACTAGAATTAAGTGGGATTGGGAAAGGTTTTCTATAGAAGGTAAGATTTTATCTGGGACTTGAAGGGCACCAAGAAAGCCAGGAGGTAGAGATGAGAAGAGAGAGCATTCTGTACAGTCCTATACAAAATACTATTTGAATTGTATAGAATTGTTTAGAAGAGGTATGGGGAAACGTCCTGTGAACATATCTAGAGTCAGATGAGAGTGTCTTGTTCAAGGAGCAGCAATAAATGCTTGTCATTCTATTGATTGATGGAAACTAGAAGATAGCCTCAAGCCTCTGAACCACATGCCACAATCCCTTTACTGTCTGAGATAGTGAATTGACTAAGGAGTGGAATCTATTTAAGATTCACAGGATTCCTTGACTTGCACGTTTAATGTGGCATAAAGGCTACAACTGCCTTCACTGCCGTCCTTCATTCTCCTTCTGTATGGGATAAAGCTGGACCTGTCCCTTGATTTCCTGGTCCAGGAACACTTAGACCCCATTACCTTCACCAACCAAAGTCTAACTTCAACATCAGGCCTAAGATAGCATGGAGATCTACTCACTGCCTGTCGTTCCTCCTCTGTCTCCTCTTCCATCTCGTTGCTGTGGGAGGGTGAAGTTGACTCAGGAACAAGGGGCATCACCAGCTTTTGGCTCAATTTTATGATGACAAGAGATATGACCAGCATCCCAATGTCTGGACCCAATAGACGTATAATATTCCTAGCATCCACCTGGCTGAATCTGTGGAGGGGAAAATAAAAATCAAGTAGAGATGTTTTTTGGGGGGGCGAGGTAGGAAATTATGGTGTTATTTTCTCATCCCAATGATTTCATGGGAGATCTATAAGGAACATTGGAGGTGCAGCCTACCCTATCAATTTTACAAATGCAGATACTGAGGCATGGTGTTGGGGGAGAGGAGTGATTTACCCAGCATTACACAGGTATTAAACGGCAGAGCCAAATTTCCAACCTAGCTCCTCTGAATCCCAGTCTAGGGCTTTTGTCACAATACCATAATAACAGTTATCAAAAGGAATAATTTGCTAGCTTTTAAAATATATAGATTCCTTGCTTTGCCTTTCCTTTGGCTATCTGCATTTGGGCCATAATCCTCAATTTGATAAGCTTAAGTCTCCTTCCCCACTGTCATCCTTCTTACCACCTTCCCAAATGCCACTCATCCCTCAAAATCCACTTCAAGTTCCCCTTCCAGCTTTCCCCAAGTACTCTAGCCCACCTCATTTCTCCTCTAGCATTCCCTGACCACACCATGTCATGTAGCATTAGGCAATATTATTTTTTAATTGCTTCAAATATGTATGTGACCTGCCTTCCCAACTAGACTGTCATCTCCTCCAGGAAAGAACTTTCGTGTCTTTCTTCTATACCTCCCAACATCACCTAGCACAGGGCTAGTCCTCAAGAAATACTATTTGAATTGTATAAAATCATTTAGGGACAGTAACTGCCTGTTATCCTCCTTTGCTTATCAAACTTGTTCTTACCTTAGAATCCCCAAATCCCCAAGAACCACTTCCCAAACTGCACCTGTGAGAAGAGAGCAAAGAATCTTATTCACATATATTAGGACTTGCTGTTTTCAGACCAACCAATTCATTCCTTTCTAATCACTCTGGCTCTCTTTTTTTGCTATGTGTTACCGTTTGAAGTGGGGCAGAAAGTGGCAGGATGTGCTTCTTGATAGTACTGGTGTGCTGATATTTTCTGCATATAGCATATGCTTAATTAATTTTTATTGAAGAGAGCTGAATATTAAGTGGAGCCTGAAACCATCCTTTGTCTTTTTCCCTGTTGGGAATCCACAAATGAATGAATTAAACAGCATTTATTAAGTGCTTACCATGTGCCAAAAACTGGGAATAAAAATAGAAAAGTGGCACAGTCCTTTCCTTCAAGGAGCTTACATTTTGATTGGAGGAGACTATATAGATGGGAGACTCCATATAGACACTCTCCCATTCCCAGGGTTCAGTAGGTGGAAGATGTAGATATCTTAAGATCATAGATTTAGAGCTGAAATGGACCCTAGAGGACATTGAGTCCAACCCCCTTTATTTTATAGATGGGAAAAATGAGGTACAAGAGTGGTAACAAAAATTGATCAGGGTCACAAAACTAGTAAGTGCCGGATGTAGGACTTGAACCCAGATCTTTCTGCCTCCAAGTCCAATGCATTCTTCAATATACTGTACGGCCTCTTGCTGGAGTTACCAGTTGGAGTCTTTCTAACAGGGACTTCTATCCCTTGCTTTCCTCATCACTCCACTCCCCTTTCTCTCTTGCAATTCATTCTGTGATTTTGGCTGCTACTCTGCTAAAATACTGCCAGGAAGGGTTAAAGGAAAAAGAAAAGGAGATGTGTCCACCTTAGAAAAGCTTGGGGAAAGGAAAGTGGCACATAGAAAAAGGAAAGAATGATAAGACTTCACTCTTCCTATTACTGAAATCAGTGTCCACTTTTAATTCTGACTTCTGGGTTCTCTTGTGCAGCAAGAAATCAAAGTACAGGGGCAGGTAGGTGGCACAGTGGATAGAGGACTGGCCCTGAAGTCAGGAGGACCTGAGTTCAAACCCGGTCTCAGACCAAACACTTGACACTTACTAGCTGTGTGACCCTGGGCAAGTCACTTAACCCCAATTGCCAAAAAAAAAATCAAAGTATACTGTTCCTCACCATCAGGAGGCATGAAACGAAAAACCATTTGAGAAGCCACTTGTATCAGGAGGAAGAAGGCACTGGTGTAACAGATTGCTCTCAGCAGATGTTTTGTGCTTCCTAGAAAAGGAATCAGGGAAAATTAAGGGTCACTCTACCCTCAGGAAGACCCCAGTGCCTGTGCTAGTCAATTTAATCTCTTTTCTGTATATAGTGCATTCTCCAAACTGCACGCACACTACAGCATACATCTTGTACTCTCACCAAGGAAGTCAAAGCCATAATAGACAAATAGTAGGATCTTCTAGAGGTGGGGTGGGCTGGGGGGAAGGCATCAGAGGGAACTGGCTATGTTTCCTTTATAATAATATCTCCAATATCAATAGACTTTAAGATTTACAAACTGCTTTGGCAGTGTAGATTTTGTCATCATCCCCATTACTCAAATGAGGAAACTGAGACTTGGGAACATCAAACACCAGCAAGCAGCTATTAAGTTTCAAGGCAAATATTTGGACAATTTAAGTCCAAAATGTTTTCTCCTATTCCTTGGGAAATTGGTGATTCTTTTCTTCCTTGGTAAGAAGGGAGGCCAAATTACGTTCACTGAATCGCCTCACCAACTCAGACTTGAGAGGTCATTTTTAATTATTCTCATCCTGTAATTACAGAAAATTCCTATTTTCCAGTATGCAGATTTAGATCAACAGAGGCATGTAGAATTCCTTTACGCCTCCTCTAATGAATATGTAAGAATAATGTGGAGTTGGTTCATATGTCAAATGGAAATGAAAGCTTGCAAAGTACTTAACATGATTTCTTCTCCTTAGGGGATTAAGCTTTCCTCCTAAAGTTGAATTTTTTGTCACACTATTAATTTGCTGAATAAGTTTTCTTTTTAGAGTCTTTTGTCTCTGATTCTTTGATCACTTCATCACAGACAGCACCAAAGTCAAATTTTCATCTAACCCTTCACCAGATGAATGAGATTCAAACAAATTAGATTATTCTATATTTAGAAAATACTCTCTCTTTACATAATTCTTCTAGTGCTTATTGCATTGGATTTTTCTATGCAGTTAGTTTCTCTTGTAATCTGTGTCATTAATAAAGGTGCTGTCATGGCATGGAGATCTTGGCTGATGTCTCTGCTCTGATTCTTACTTTGTGACCCAAAAAAGGGTCAATTAACCTCTCTCTGGCCCTTTGTTTCCTCCTGTGTAAAGTGGAATTAATAGTACTTGGCCGTACTTACCTCATAGGGGAGTTGGAAGGAAAACACTCAAAGTTCTACATAGATGTGGGTTTTATTATTTATAAAATAAAGTATTCACTATTGATCATAGGTTATTAACAATAATAACTCACATTTCTAAAGTACTTTTGAAAGTTTGCAAAGCCCTTTCCTCATGGTAGCCCTGACTGGTAGATAGTATGACTATCATTAATCCCCTCTTATAGACATTAGTGACTTGGAAGTAGTAAGTGCCTTGTCTAAGATGACACAGCAGTAAATAAGTGGTAGGGCCAGCACCTAAGCCTAGTTTCCAGACTTCCATGTCTCTTACTGTTATAACCAGGGTGCTCTCTGAAAAGCTCGACAATCAATCTTTTGTTCAAGTCAGTGTCTATATGACCCTTGCTCAGTGGTACTATTTTGGGGGGAGAGGACACAGGGCAGAACTGCAATTTCATCCATGTGGGGAACTTTTGGTGTGGAGACTCCCTCTACCAAATGCTGATTGGCAGCTAATCCTTCTCTAACCATTTTAGAGCAATGGTCTCTAAGCCTTTTTGATCTCATGCTCATATCAGTTTTAAAAAATGAACATGCAATCCAAATATGTGCATATTTACTTATTTATAAATTATGTACAAGTACTATAGTGCTAATTATGTATATTAGGAAAAATAGAAATTTAAGCAAATGAGCTAAAGATGAAAGAATATTGTATCCTCGAGTCAATAGGAAGCCCCTGAAGTTTACTGAGTGGGGAGTGGAAATGACATGGGTAAGCCTGTGCTTTAGGAAAATCACTTTGGCACCTGTGTGGATGAGAGAAGGGAGTAGGGGGAAATGGGAAGCATGGAGAAAATTGCAAAAATTGCAAAAATCCTAATGAGAGGTGATGAGGACCTGCACTACAAGTGTTACTGTTGGGATAGAAAGAAGGAGACAGGTGTGAGAGATGTTATGGAGATAGAAACAGCAACGTTTGGCAACCATTTAGACATGTGCACTGAAGGAAAGGGAAGAGTTGAAGATGAAACCAGGGTCAAGAACCTCAAAGACTGGAAGGATGGTACAGTCCTCAACACAAACAGGGAAGTTTGGGAAAGGGATGGGTTGTAACGGGATCAGCAATGCAGACCACAACTCAATCATGCCTGTTCATCCTGCAAAACTCACTCAAAATGAAATGGAAATGGGGGGCAGGACTTTTATTCCCTGCCCCTGAGCCCAGATCCCTCCCTCCAAGGTGCCTTGCTGAAGCTAAAAAGTGACCTGGTGGACAGGGGCTGGAAAGCTTAGGAAGGGAAAAATTTCCCTGATGGTACCCATATAGCTGCTGCTAAAGAAAACTGTTGAGTTGTAACTCCTCTGGAGGCCATGCCTGGCTCAGAATGGGGCAAGTCAGGAGCTTCTACTGCTGAAGGAAGGAAGTGCTGGCAGATGAGGTCAGGTATGGTTGTGTTGGGGACCAGCCCCCCATGATTGGCTATCACAGGGAGAGTGGGATATGACCTATTTTCTCACCCTCTGATTGGTTGATCAGCTCTACTTTGGCAACCCCTCCATCTTACAAAGTCTCCAGCAGTCAATAGGTTAACCAACTTGCCCATGGCCCCATAGCCAGTGTGTATTGGGGGAAGGATTCAAATTTAGATCCTTTCAACTCTAAGGCTAATCCTCTGTCTACTAGGCCAAATTGCCTCTCACTGTGGTATTATATCCAAGATAAAGTTGTCTGACATTCATGGTTCATAACACACTTCACATATATAATCTATTTTGTTTGCCATATCAATCCTGTGAGAAGGTATTATTAGATGTCTTAGAGAGTTGGTTGAGGCTGAGAGGTTTAAATGATTTGCATATGGTAACATGGCTAATGTCAGAGGAGGGATCTAATCCCAGGTCTTCCTTATAACAAATGACACTCAATCTACTGCTTCTCATATGAGATAGGTACTATTATTATCTTCCTTTTACAGATGAAGAAACTGAGGCCTAGAGAGGTGATCCTACAACTAGGAAGTAAGCAGGATTTGAGCTAGTCACTGGTGACTCCAAGGCCAACACTCTTACACTGACTTTAATGTATTTCTCTTCTCTTCTGAACTCTCAGCCCCTATTAAAGTATTTGCAAGCTAAATTAAGAACTGAAGTTACCTATTAGCATGCTAATCTTCATTGTTTTGGTTTTGGTTTTCTCCAGGGGTGTACTCTATGATACCTACAAATTGAGAACATAACATTCTATTTTCCTTATCTTACATTGAAAGCTTTTCAACACTGTTTACCTACCTTTCATTGAGCTAGCTGAGGGTTTAGGAAAGAGTGGAAGGAGAAGTAAAAATATAAGGTAGACAACTGACATTCCATTGTACCTGAATGATATAGCTGTAATAGAGAGAAAAAATATCAAGATGTCAGATCCTCAGCAGACAACAGAACAAACACCATCCCCTGGCCACCCTGAATCCCAAATCCAGTACCCCAATACATTCCAACTGTTGAAGCCTCTTCCTTCCTTCAAGGTCATACAGGTGCTGCTTCCTCCAAAAACTTTTCCATGATTCACTTTCCCCAACCCTTTGAAGTGAAAGTGATTTCTTCCCCTCTTGTGTGAACTTTGTATTTATCCCACTCTTCTTAAAATCATAGTTAAAATGTCGTACCCTACCAATTACATTTTAAATGTCTTTAGACCAAGGTGTATGTCTATATTTTCATATTTCCAGCCCCCTGCATAGGGTTTTACACAGGGTAGGCAGTTGACCAACATTTGTTGAATTGAATTGGAACACATGTGACAGAATTTCATTCACATTCCTTCTTGAGGAAAGATTTTTTTCACCTTTTTTGGGTCATGGGCCCCTTCTGGGGAAGCCTATGGACTATTTCTCAGAAGAATGTTTTTAAATGCATAAAACAAAATACATTGGAATACAAAGAAAATAAAATATATTAAAACACAGTTATCAAGGCATTAAAAAAAAGTCACCATACTCCATATTTAGAATCTTTGCTTGTAGCAGAGGTTAAAGTAAAGTAAAGGCTATAGGAGAGTGAATAGAAGAACTGAGTTTGAGTCCTACCTTTGATACATATAATTGTAAATGACTCAGTGCTAGTCTAGGCAACTCTCTAAGACTGTAAGTTATGGAGGACAAACTGAATTGGTAGAGGGAGTTTCCTCACCTGGGAAGTTCGTTATAAATATCACTGAACTTCCAGTAAGAAATCTCATAGATTTTTCTAGCTCTTTGCCCCATTTGTAATGAACTATTCCAGTAATTTTAAGCTGACCAGGCTCTCACTTTTTCAGTCTTTCTTTGTTAATATGGCCATACCTGTCATCCATTTAGCCACACAAAATATCATTTCCAAGTGTGGCTGGGAAAAAACAGAATTTCTATCAAGCTGAAAATAATTTGCCCAATTACAGTATAGGGCTAGAAAAAATCTCACTTCACTAACAATAACTAATATTGCAATGTCTGGTTGGATGCAATACAGCATCACTGGTGAACAAAGAACAACAATTTGGGAAAGTTGGTACACAAATAGATTTGGAGGTGTGTGATGTCCCATGTTCCCTGCTATCGTCCTTGGTTGGACTACGTCCATAATTGGGGACATGGTGAATTAATGAAAGAATTATCCAGGTAGACAAACTTTGGCCACAACTATAGTGATATTTCAGATGAATTCTCTGGATAATCATCTCATATCTTTCCTTTGTATGTGAAGATACCGTCTAAAGCTGTTAGTTTATTCATAAGATCATAGTATCATAGATGGAAAGTTGGAGGGCACCTCAAAGGTCATTTGTTCCAATCCTTTCATTTTATAAATGAGGAAATTGAGGCCCAGGAAGGCCAGGTGACTTGCT